GGTCGCAGAGGAGGAAGCTTGGGCAGTGGTGCTACTCGGACTTGGCCTCCTCCTTGGCCTCCTCGGGGGCTGCCTCCACCTGTGGGACAGAGCAGAAAGGTCAAGGTCAAAAACTTTTGAGTGGTTGCCGCTTTGCGTGTGCCTGAAACCACCGGCGTCGCGTGCGAGTCCACCCACCTCGTTGGTCTTGGCGTCTCCGTTCTCAGAGTGGTTTTCCTCGTTGGCCTCCGCCTCTGCGTTCTCCTTCGCCTTCTTGGTCTTCTTGTCCTCCTTCTTGTCGTTCACGGCCTTTTCTTTCTGCGGGGGCCACAAGAAGAGGCTGTTAGCGGCCTGGACGCCTCTAGCTCTGGGACGCGCGTCGATTCAGAATCGGGGTTTAGCGTCTCTTACCTTTGCCGCCTTTTTGGCCTTTGGTTCCGGCTTAGGCAGGGCCGGCTTCTGTGACGGAGTGGGAAAAGGGAAAGAGACTGAGAAACAGCTACACCTGGATTACTGCGTTCTTCACTAGTTTGACGATACTGGGAGAGTTTTTAAAAGACGGTGAATGCAACTCTAAATGTTCCCAACTATTAAACTTCTTTAATACAGACATTGTCTGAGTGGTTATAACAACTATTTGCACCCCTAGCTGGGTTAATTAAAGTTATTATATAATATTAACATACTGAACAGTAATAATTCTGAAGCACTCTATTATGCCCACTATTGGTATTTCATATGTATTGTACCAGCTCTGTACTTTTTAATAGCAAAAACCTTTCTAAAACATGTTTTATTTGAATAATAAAGACATAATATTATCTTTATAGTACTGCTGACAACTTAATTACTACTTAATTAAAGACTTGAATTACCTAAACTAATTCTTAAGCTTCGTAATGTAAAAATGACATGTTTTGAAGTTTGGTATTGCTAGGAATTAAATTGAAGTACTTCATAAGAAGAAACCCTGTTTATATACCTGTTCTCCTTCTCTAAAGGGAAAATATTGCTTTATTTCATTGGTGACACGTGTGTGCAACTACTTTTAAGCGTTCTACCATGATTTACAAGTTTTTTGACTGAATGTGTAAATGTAAATGACTTGGCCGAGTTTCTGCGTGTGTCTTCTTACCAATGATAACCGAGCTGATCTCCTCTGGGGCTGAAAAAGAACAAAGACCGTTATCACGGGGCTTTTATCTGGATTTGGGCTACATTCAGGAAACACACATTAGAATTCAATAATAGCTCTTATGTTTATTGATAATGCCCTCGCGGGTCCCACGTACTGATGAAAATTCAGTTTTAATCACATGTATGTGGTGTTTCTTAACGTGCACCCTCTTACCTCCTCCCTTTCTCCTCCAGCCGTTACTGCTGTCTGAAAAACACAAAAACAAACGGCTAAAATGGGGGGAAAAATCAAATAGCACTACTGAGAGTTTAAATGGTGTTTGTACGAACAAGAAACAGTTGTTAATTGCGTCAGGCGCATATTATGACTAATTATAAACCTGTTGAAAAAACTTTTTGCTTTCATGCTAAAACTAAATTTTATGTCACATACAGGTCATTTTAAAGGCTCCCAGCCCAGGAATGTCGTGGTAATGCACGGTTTCAGTCATGGGCTAAGAGGGCTCAGCCGTGCGGGCCTCTGGAGCCATATTTTGAGGGCCCAGGCCCTGTTATTCCCTTTCTCTCCCCCATCTCTTTCTCTCATTCAATGCATGAAGCTCAGATTTGAAAGCTGGCGCGGGAGTCTCTGAGAAGGGGGAGGGACCTGCTTCCGCTCACGCGCGCCACCCGGCGGCAGAGCCGCGCCACCGCAGCCGTTCGGGACCGCGAACAAAGAGAGAAAATATACAATTTTATCGAAACGAGACGGTGAGTGCTCGCTTTTGCGGCCAAAATGCAAAGTAGGGGCACTAAAGCATTTTCTGGTGGCACTTTTCGCCGGTTTGGTGTCGAACTCGCGATAAACGGAGCGCTTGTTCTCGGTAGGGTCGGCGACGAAGGTGGACAAGAGCTGCAAAGCATGGCTGCTGCTTGTGCTTTAACTGCATGGAGACCGAGAGAGACTTCTGGCTCCCCAAAGGACAGCGGCTCGCGCAAGAAAACGCGATTTAAAGGCCGTGTCCGAGCGGGAAAATATTCATTCTAACGCATAAAAAATGTACATTATATCTAGAAAATAGGCAAAAATTACCAGCGATATATTACGGTTATACATTACGTTATAATTAAGTAATGTCTCAGAGGGATGTCTTCACAATCGTTTTGCAATGCATACATAGCCGATATCCTCCTCAAACTATTTGGATCATTGAGAATACGTACCTTTCTTTTGGGCATGTTGATCTCTTGGAGGTGTTCTTACAAATACAACTAAAAACTGTTTTTCTCAGTGGGTTCAGTGCATGTGAAGACGAGCGTCTCCCTTATGCTCGGCAGTGTAGTAAACACACTGGAACAGAGAGGCGAGTGGTTGAATGGGGGGAGGGGTGCGGCTAAAGGCATGATTGATAGGCTCCCGGCCAATCGGGTGACGCCATTCGGGGCTGCAGAACACTTGGAATTTTTTGGAGCCGGTGATGATCTGAGGTCTGTGCGAATGGCTTCTTCCCCCTTCTGCAAGGAGAGAGAGATGGGAGGAAAGCCTGCGAGAGCGAGAGGGGCTGCGCTCGAGGACATGTTGCCCTCGTTGCGAGCGCGTTACAGTGAGAGCAAAAAATAAAGAGGCCCGCACGGCCGAAACACCCCTGCACGCGCCGCTCTACAAGGCCCCGCGGAGGGCCCGACAACATGCCCCCAAGTGTAGAGCCACTCATCCCCGCTGACTCGTCTGACAACCTCGGGCTCACGTCGGAGGCGGCCAGCGAGGAGAAAATTCACCATAAATTCACTTCGTGTTTGAGTCCAATATGGCGCCCACTCGTCTCCGACATATTTTTTTTTTTTTTTTTGTCAGTCGGCTTTCCTAAATTAATTTCAGAGCAGCCTTGCGTCGTCTGCCCCAGACGCCTGCAGGGGGCCCACAGAGCCCGTCTAATGGTGTCGGCTGCACGAGACGGCGCTTAAAGAACGAGGCCGAGCTGCTTGTTACACAAAAGCGCCCAGAAGTGTTCAAAATCACAGCGGATTTTTGTATTATTGTTTTTAATCACCTAACATTAAATTACCATAATTAAGAAGAACGCATGCAACGGTGCACGCGTGCACTGTTAAAAAAGGGGACAATATCAAATCGCTGGCTTGCAGACAATGGGGGTCGATGCTGAAAATATTCAGACAATATCACCCTGTTGTCTTGCCATCATAATAGGCCCCATGGCCCCCTCTGTGCGCGCGTGATCCGTGTCTCCGTGTGTGTGTGTGTGTGTGTGTGTGCTCTACACAGAGAGAGAGGGAGGGGGACAGGGAAGGGGCGGGGGAGGCAGAGCAGAGGCGGAGGAGGAATGTAAAACCTCCATCCAGTGCCGAGAGCAGGAGCATTTGCGCAGATAGTCTGCGCTGCTTTCAACAGACGCACAAGCGTGTCAGCTGAGAGCGAGAGCGAGAGCCAGAGAGAGAGAGAGTAGACAGAGAGAGAGAGAGTAGACAGAGAGAGAGAGAGTAGACAGAGAGAGAGTAGACGGAGAGAAGTTCCCCGTTGTTGCTTCTCGTCCCGCTGCCGAGCGATCCGACCTGCAAAAGAGTCTGCAAGAAGCAGGTCGACCAACCGCTGCGTACCGGACTCGTGTTAGCACCAGGGATTTAACATGGTGATCAAAGTCTACATAGCATCGTCCTCCGGATCCACTTCGGTAAGTGATACAAAAAAATAACATGTGTACATGTGGTGTTTTTAGCTGGAATCATCTGCAGCATCGCCTGCTAGACAATACAAACTAAAAACTAAATGCAAGCTGAACTTTCATTGAACTCACTAACTGATGTCCATCCTCAATAAACATGCTGACTCATGAATAAACACGCTGCTCTATCCTCCTCAAGACGCGCATGGAGTCTGTCAGTGACCCTCTTTAACTTTTCACGCGCTTTTAAGAGATGGAGAGGAAGTTTTAAAGGGTGCTAACTGAGCGCCGCGCCTCTCAGCTGTGGTTTGTCACAGGGTTTCCTGAACTCACAGCTCAGTGTTTGTGCAGCTGAAACCAGGCTGACAAACACGAAAGGGTGCAGCAACAAATAAATAAAATGTATATAAAAAGGCCCTGTTCAGGTACCTGGTGCCAGGATAGGCAGGAGTGTCTGACAGGGGTCTCGAGTCCCGTCACTGTCCTGCAGCACAGAGGACCACCGGAGTCCTTCTTGCTCCACAGTGGAGAGGAATGATGGTGATGATGCAATTCTCCGGGGCCCCTTTTTTCAGACCTGCAGCTGCAGGCCAGGAACACTTGTGCTCTGTTTAGGAATTATTGGTGGTCTTGATTTGTGGGAATTTCACCGTTTACTAGCCGAAGTGCACGAAAGCTTCAATTCCGGCTCATCAAATATAGTTTGCTTCCAGCTGCTGCATGCGTCTCAACGTAATCGCTGACATTACTGCTTGTCTCAGTCCTGGATGTCACTAAAAAAACATTTCACGGTGCAAAATTGAAAGTGCATTGTGATGGAGATGGTGCAGATACAACAGCCTTTGAATCAGAACCCCTTACCAAAGTTACTTAAATTAAAGACCCTTAACACATTTAGGATGATTTCTGCTCATTGATCAGCATGTCTTCACAGCTCACACACGGAGGCAGAAGCACATTTCCCTTTTGTATTTCAGCAGGACAGCTCTTACAGGACGGCAGCTTCCTGTACAGCCATAGAGCGGTCTGAGTGCAGAGCCAGCTGTGCTGGGGCCTGTCTGGGAAAGATGCATTACCTCTCATCGATCTGCCTTTAGTAGAGTCTGCTTGAAAGGTGGACGAGCTTATGTCCTGCTAAGTGGCGCACGGGCTCTTTGTCTCCGGGTCTACGTCTCCTGTTGGAGCTGGAAGAAAAACAACAGTGTTGCTGACTGAAGCAAAGTGCCATAAACACATTTATGTCTGGTTTCAGCTTCGCTATGCTAACCAACTTCTCTGGATTCATTTAGACTTGGGACGTGCCGTCACATTAACGGAGACTCCACATCTGATTTATACACCATTGATGTTGCAATCTCTCTATGCAACGTCTGCCTTTAACGGAACACAAATGTAGTGAAGAGCTGCTGAGTGACTGAGCTGTGGGTGAAAGACTCCGCTCTGCAGTTCGATTGCATCGGTAACTACAAAACAATGTTATTGCATTCCTCCATCCAGCAGTGTCTGCTGCTGCATGAATCACACCAGTCTAGTTCAGCATGTGATGTGAGTGGAGCCACAGTCAAAACACAGAGACTAGTAGGAGTGTATATATATATATATATATATATATATATATATATATATATATTTTTTTTTTTTAAAGCTTTTGCTCCACTGAGGAAACGATTGCAGGTCAAACAGAGAGAGAGGCTGTAAAATCAGCCGGAGGGATGTATCAGATTCAGCGCTGGACGAGCTACATCAGTCAGCATTATTCAGACAAGTGTATTTCCTACAGACGTAAAGTTCTGTTCAGTGCATATTTATAGATATTAATGCAAATTGATTTCATGCAGAATCTGATCCTTACACCAGCCAAAAGTTATACATCAATGGTTCTGTGTAGACATCTGAAGAACCACGTGCTTTAAGGTTTAATGGACTGAACAACCTCAAAGGTCAGATAGGGAATAGAGTGCATTATGGAAATGAAAAAAGACAATGAAGAACTCAGGCGGCGTCTCCCATCTGCATGAAAGGTTTAATGTATGTGTCCATTGGCTTCCACATACCAGCATCTACTTATTGCAGTCCAATGTAATAGTCCTGGGAAAGAACGCTCTCTTTGTGGAGCTTTGAAGCTGTTGTTTTGAGGATAAATATAACATAAACCCCTTTTTTCATAATTTAATGTTATTTAGCAAAAGGCCATGAACTACAGTTTGCATCTTATCAATTTGTGAAATCGACACCTTTCTGACAGGAATAAAGGAAAATAATAACTTAGAAAAAAGGATTGATTCAGGTCTGCTTATTGCCACAGTTAGTGTGGATGAGTGTCCCTGAGCAAAGCACTTATTGCCGGTTTAGCTCTCCCCTGACCCCTGACCTCTGCTATTCCCTTGTGGAGGCTGGTATGCCTGCAGACTGAATGCGGGCTGACATCATCGTCTTTCCACCCAGTAATGAGAAGCAGCATGTTTGAGTCACCTGAAGCACGGTGCTGCCAATCCTCCAGAGAGACTTCTATTGTTGTGGCCAGTGGCTTTGCAAAGGATGAAGTCATGCTACGATATTTGTACATGCAGTATATTTGAGAGAATAGTACCACTTGTTCTCGTTTGACCTGCTCCTTTTGGTCACAGCGAGGCCACATTTGAATAACGAACTAGCAGTATTTTCTTATTGAATTCACACATGTAAATACACACCTGTAGTGGTGGATCTAGCGTGCAGAGCACCAACTGAAACTGTGGAAAGAGCCAAAAACATCAGCCAACAGCAAAGCACATTTACTGCCCCATTTCCCTTCATGCACTGCAGCCATACTATTATACAATTCCCTCATTGCCACTATAAATGTACCAAGCATCAGTAACACGTTGGAGCTTGTTTTTTTTCTGGTTTGTGCAGCATGGTTCACGTCCAACTCTTCCGCTCCCTGCATCAGATTCCCTGCTCTTCTTCCTCTGTAGGTTTGGCATGAAGACCTGAAGGTCTGGCTTGAGTTGGACGGCTGCTGCAGCGAGTTAGTCAGCGTAAAAAAAGGTTGTTTTCTGGCCTTTTCGCTGTTGTTCCACCTTCAGACTGCAGCGAGGGAACCCAGCCAAGAGCAGCAGTGTCGGGCTCTTTTCTGTAACGATGTTGTAATGCTGACTGAGCTCAAGATTGGGTGGAGGCTACTGTTGCTGCTGGAATTCCACTGAGCGTCCAATCGTGATCTAATCAAGACCTTTATCCCTAACAAACACACAGTTTCCTTGAGCCCAGGCAGTGGATTTTGTCTGCGTTCAAACGTTGGACTCCCGAGCCATTAGACATGTCATTTAGTCTTCTCTGTGAAGAATGCTTGACAACCATCTTGTCTGTTCCTTTCCGTGTGAGTGCATCGCACAAGAATTGACCCCCAGCCCCGAGTCGACATAACTGATTGAATCAGTCTCCATCGCATTGATCCAAGCCTGTGTTTCTAGATACAGGGCTTCCAATCAATGTCTGTCGTTGTCTGGCAGCTGTTAATGCCAGAGTCCTGCTTTTTTTTTTTTTCAGGGATTGATTAGCTCTGGACTCTGAATTTTCAAGAGTAAATACCACTTCTATTGTTAGATGTATACCCAAATGCAGTTTTGCTCAGCTCAGACTTTTGTGGACATACTGACTCATGTCTGACAGCTGATTTTTCCCGACATCATTTCCACAATGTGTACTGCATCGAGAGGGGACCATTATTTACTGTAACACCGCCGAACGGAATGCTGGGCACAGCTCGCTATCCGTCGATGTCCGTGAGAGCTTCTGAAGCTAAAAGACGCGTATACCTTAGCATCGCCAGGCGATGCATGCGACTATGTCATGACAGGTGTATTGCTCTTGTCTCTAAACGCAAAATTCAACCGAGGCTGATGGGGATATGTTTTGGAGGTATTTCGTCATAAACCAAAGAACAGACCCGTAGTCTGGGTGTCGCCCAGGTTGTGACAGTTCCATCTTGTACAGCGAATGTAGAGATATTTCACAGGATAAGTGACGGTATCAGGATTCCTCCTCTGGGGATCATGAATGTCTGTACACAACTTTAGTGTAATCCATCCAATAGTGTTTTTTATATTATATATTTCCGTCTGCCTCATGGTGGTGCTAGAAGAAATGTCATGGAAACACTAAACCCAGTAGGATTCATCCTCTGTGGACCATGAATGTCTGTTCTATATTCCATGACAACATATACATAAGATATTTCAGTCTGGACCAAAGTAGTGTAGCGAGTCATGGTGCTAGCATGGCTAGAAACACGGAAGAGTCAGCGCCTACATCCACGTCTAGACAAAACAAACGACACAGTGACAACTTCTCAACCGCTTTTGCATTTTGTTTGTCTTAATGTCAGTTTATATTTGCATATAACCAAGACTTCGGCCCTGCCTGTTGATTGTCTGCAGGTCTGACACAGACTCACTCTCTTGTCTATCCTATGAGGAATAAGCCTCTATCATTTCAGAGAGACAGATAAGGAGTGATAGGGCAACAGAATAAGAGCAGTTGTTTATTACCACACCCAAAGGCAGGGCCCGCCTGTTTTCTTCCAGTTTTAAATCACCAGGAGCCCAACTAATGACTAAAAGGGGCAAAGCGGGCAACTCTCACTGTGCAATTAGAGTTAGAGGCAGATGGCATGAGGCCAGTCTGCCCTACAAATTAATTTCACTTGGCAACATCACAATGTGGGCTTCTTGGGTAATGGCCAAAGTGCACCAAGGGAAAGGAGAAAAGAGGAGAAAGTGGATCCTTGTGCTCAACTCGTCATTTTAGCAACTTAGGATAAAGTTAGTTTACTTATTTAAAGTGTCTACTGTGCCAATGTAAGTCAAAAAGGACAAAGAGCCGGCTGGGTAGGTTCTTCCACCAGACGGAGGATTGTCATGTGCTCAGAGGCAGAGCGAGTCACAGAGTGGCAGACCTCATGGCGTTCCACTCCGTTGCCTCTTCCTGCGCTGGTTTCTAGAGCAGGTGGGCAAAGAGCTGGTTTTAGGACTTTGGCCTCGGGAGTGCAACTGCCATTAAATGGTTCAAACTGCACCAGCGTTGTCAGCGCCCTCATTTCCATGCCTCAGTGTTGTTTCAGCAGATGGCTGGAAGACAAATAATCCACCTGTCTCGTCTGAACACCATGAAGCTGGGAGGTGTCGGTACTGACAGCCAGACGATGAATAGATTACCATGCACAGAACCTTGTAGTGCTTTTACCATGAAGTTGGCTTAGTTTGATTTTAGGTGTGTGTGTGTGTGTGTGTGTGTGTGTGTGTGTGTGTGTGTGTGTGTGTGTGTGTGTGTGTGTGTGTGCAGCTGAGGCTGGATGTGTGTGTCTCCTTGCAGCAGGCCTTATTTGGCTCGTGTTTGACCAGTTACCTCCTCTCGAGTCCCAGTGGAGCTCTTGTTTCCGTCTGGCCTTGTAGGGCCATCTTCCCTCTCACACACACACCCACTGAGCCCTCATTGGACCACAATTTCATACACTAAAACCACACACACATCCATATAGATGGAGGCAGAAGCAGGAACAGCACATTTCTATCTTTTCTGTCGCTTCTTTATCACCTCGCGGTGTGCGACAGAGCAGCTAACACAGTTGCCAGTGCACTTTTGAAAAGAGGCGAGATCCCACAGGGTGTCGTTCTCGATACATTTCTCTTTCCTGCTGGTGTCGTAGCGTTGGTTATCTGCTTCCTCTTAGATGGCAAGCTTGTGGGTTTTGCATAAAGCAGAATGGACTATTTTTAGAAGAGTCATAGGTATGACAAGTGTTAAATATGGTGCCGTGCCAAATGCGACAGAACGGCCTTTTGTGAGAACGGGGAGTCGTTTAAAATCAATCACATCGGCGTGAAAATCCCAGATAGTGAGAAAGACAGCATCTTCCGCGACTGCCAAACACTGTCTCCCTGTGTGGGGAAACATGCTCACTTTATTGTATAAATAGATAGGCTTTGACATTTTGTCAAATTTAAAAGTATGCAAAGTGTCACACATGCTTTTGAAATGGCTCCGTTTAAAACAATTAAGTGCGGAGGACGATGGGAGTTGACGTCCTCCTCGCTTTCTCGTAGATAAAACACAATCCGTCCCTGCTTAGCCTTGCCCGAGTTCACCCTCTCATTGCATCGTTTCACTCACTTGTCAGCAAACGAGCGGTAACTTCGTAACTGTGGTGTTATGTCTCGCAGCAGAGAAGAAGTGTCCTCGTTCTCGCAGCAGACTGATGGCAGTCTGGTGAACCGAGGCCCTTATGTTTCCTCATAAGTGCTGAAAGTTAACACACGTCTTAACTGACAACTTCCTCTCTCTCTCTCTGTCGCACGCAGATTAAAAAGCAGCAGCAGGATGTGATGGGCTTCCTGGCGGCCAATAAGATCGCGTTCGAGGAGTGCGACATCGCGGCCAACGAGGGCAACAGGATGTGGATGAGAGAGAATGTCCCGGAGGAGGCCAGGCCGACCACGGGGAACCCTCTGCCCCCACAGATATTCAACGAAAGCAAATATTGCGGGGTGAGGCACATGATGAACATACACTACCACTCTGATGGGTCACATACAGAGCTGCAGCTCATCTCATCATCATCATCATCATCACGATGGTGGGGTTTGAATACAGATTCTGATGAATCCACTGTGCACTGTATATAATCTTAGTTGGTGGAGACTTAAACAGAGCTGAAAGGAGAATGGATGCTGGATTTACTGACAGGTGGACAGAATCAGAATGATATCGTTGCTCTATATCTGCTAAATTGAGTGAAAAAGAAACAAACACATTAGCTATAATATGACAATGTGTCAACGTTAGATTGTCCCGCTGCCCTAAGTGGCAAAGAAATGTCTGCTTTATATTTCTAATAGTATCACATTCATGACTTGGAATGTATCTACCTTAAACTTAGCCTGGCATAAGTCTTTACAGTATTTAAAGGAATGGTTCAGCACTTAAGCAGCCGAAGATCAATATCACAATGATATCCGTCTATTGAATATGAAGCTTAGCTTAGCATAATGACTGGAAATGGAGAGAAACAGCTAGCCTGGCTCTGTACAAAAGTAACAACATCCGACTGAAGGCACACACCATATCTGCACAATATTCAAAAGTGAAAAAGCGAAAACATATACGCACATAACCCCTCGATATACCGCAACTTTTTCAGTAGTGTTATTTAATGAGCTGGGAGGCAAATTTCTTTACCTTTGGACGAAGCCAGGGGAGCTGTTTCTCCCCAGCTTCCCGCTCTTTGTTGCTTAACTCTGTGGTGAAGCACAAACCGTCACCTCGCTCCGGCTTCATATTTAACGGATAAGACTGGTATCGATCATCTCATCTAACTCTCGCTCGAAAGTCAATAAGCTGTTTTTTTTCTCAAAATGTCAAACTGTTTATTCCTTTAAACACCATCATCTCTCCTAGCAGATGCTAATTTACTCCCATCAGACGCCTTGAGTCATGCTGTGCAGCTAACGGATGGCTGGAAGTGAAGCTGCAAAAGCGGGACGGGCTGTATTGAATGTCACAGACAAAGACAACAGCATTTACCAGGATACTCGCAGCTGTACGGCCTCTTTATAAGAATCTGTTTGTGTGTGTGTGTGTGTGTGTGGGGGGGGGGAGCAAAAAGGAGTGAAAACAAAGGAAACAAAGGAGAGACTGCAGGCAACTCAACAGTTAAACGGGCGAATGTGTTTGTTTGTGGGTTACAAACACAATGCCCTCCTATCAGATCTGACTACCGAGGCCTTTCCCTGGACAAATAACTCCACCCTAACAACGGCTAATTCAGACGGTCGCCCTCGGGTGCTGATCCAAAGCCTGTTTCACATTATCATTCCTCAGGTTGGAGTTGATCAATCTGCATCTAAAGTCCTCTCCGTGTCTTCCTCTTCCTCAGAACTACGAGGCCTTCTTCGATGCCAGAGAGGACAATGCCGTGTATGCGTTCCTGGGTCTGACCGCTCCCCCCGGCTCCAAGGTATAAGCTGGCGAACACGCTGTCGTCTGTCCCTTCATTGAACTGCATTCCTGCTGCCATATTTTTCCGTAACACCGGCTTATGAGCCTAAATATATATTTACCCTCACAGTGTGCTGTCCATGCAGAAAACACACACACACATTACATAATACATCTGTTCCTGATATCCTTACACCCAAGCAGGCCTCCTTCTCCTTCTCCTCTCGCTCTCCTGCACACTGGCGCCTCCTCTGTGCCACAACAGGAGCTGCAGGGAGGTGTGCCAGTTACCATAGCAACAGAGGGGTTTTCCATGGCAGGAGATGTATAAACCATTATCCTCCATTTTATTACAGCACTCTCTCCCTCTTCTCCTCCTCTCTCCCCCTGCGTGTCTCTCTGCAGGAGGCCGAGGCTCTGGCGAAGAAAGCACAGCAGTAGCAGCTTTACGCCGTTTTCTACCTGAGACCTGAACCCAGACCTGAACCCAGACCTGAACCCAGGAAGACCAAGAACTGATCCAGGATGAAAACAAGCAACATTTCACTCAGCTTATAAATATGTGATTTACTTTTTTTTTCTATTAGTCTGTGTTCAGCTGTGCCTTGTCAGCTGTAGTGAAAGGAGGTGCTGAAGCAGTGCATTATGGGTATCTACAAACAGCTCTGCTTCCTCTCATTAACTTCAGCCCGCTAAGCCTATTGGCCTAACGACATGTCAATCAACCATAAGCATGAACGCGTAGCTTCCTTTTTGAGAACACACAGTCAGACACCACTAAATGTACGCACGTTGAAAGTTGTTCCACAGATTCATCATTTGGCCAACAGGACGTCATCCATAATACATCGTCCTCATTCATTTCACTCGACGGGTTCAATTCGAACAAGTCTCATCTGTCGAATCCTGGAAACACGTTTTTGCTCCTGCCCATTACGTCATCGCCAAAAACCTGCAGCACCTTCTGTAAAAGTGATCTACCACAATCCTATTCCCTGTTTTTATTTACTCTCTACAGTCTTAATGCTGTTTTAATAGCAAACTTTTTTCTACGAGATGATGTATGTTTTAAAATAATAACACACATGCCAAAATTACAAGTCTGCATACACAGAGGGATGTGAAATTGAGTTGTTGTTTTTTTTTTATTTGCCGTTTGTGTTTTCAGGGGAGTTGGATCGCTGTTTGGTTTCACCATCGGCATCCTGTTTCACATTGTGTTGGTAATCCCGGTGTTACACAATCTTCTAAATAAAAATAAGACTGCAAATAAAACGCCTGACTCTCAGTACTCCTTGGTGGTTTTCGTGAAATAATCAGAATCAGAATCAGCTTTATTGGCCATGTATGCGTACGCATACATGGAATTTGAGTCCGGTTTCCACTTCGCTCTCGATGTACATCCACAAATTTACAGTAAACAAGAAAAAAAAAAATAAAAAATATATATATATATAAAATAAAAAAGGGCAGCAAAAAAACAACAGATGTAGGTATAAACATTTAACAATATGTACAATATAAGTATAAACATATATCCAAAAAAGGATATATGTATATATATATATATGAACATAAACCTATAAACAAGAATGGCAATGGAACTGAGGTAATAGTGCAGACAGAGGTAGTAGTGCAGTATGACTTAAATAAGTGACAAAGTCGAACAAATCCGCCTTCTTGTAACATATTTTATGTACGATTAATGAATTTACAGTTGGTGTTTGTGACTTCATTGTCTTAAAAGTGTTAACATTGTGAAAGAGAAAGCAGGATTTGTCATCACTCATTGAGTTGCTGGTTTGCACCAGATATTCTGCAGAATATCATCCAACCGCTCAGCAGTCTTTAGATCTTTGTACACTTCTTTAGTATTTCCAAATTATGATATTTTTACTCCCCCCACATTTCAGTGAAATATTTTTTACTTCATTACATTTTCGTGACAGCTTCAGCTTTTCAGATCTAGATTTTACATAAGATAACATGATAAGCTTCTACGTTTATAAAGAATAACATTGCAATACAAAAAGCAGCTGCACACTGAATCACAGCTCCATTTGTCACGTCTACTTTCAGCAAGATCTTTGAAAGAGGAAGACTAGTTGATCAACACATTGCTCATGAAATTAATAAGAGCTGTGACTAAGAGTGTATTGCTCTACTTCTTGTATTGATTTTTTTTGTATCCCACTGAGGTCTTTTGGATGCACACACATGAGTACTCTAATGTATTGATGATTAAATGAGTGGTTCCTGATGTTTTTCACTTATAACCCTTTACAAACAGCGAGGTCTGGTGGAGGCCTCTTGTTGTTTTGTTCCACCAAAACGGGATTTCCCCTCCAGACTGCTCAGCTGGTTTCATGTAAACTGTAATATCTTACAAAAAAAGCCAAGGTATGTGTTTTCTTTGTGTAGCGTAACATCTCTTTCTTCTCTCCCTACCCCATTAATCATCTCAGGACCCCTCAGATTTATCTTTTGACCCTTCGGAGAGGGCCCCGCCCCCTAGGTTGAGCTACCTTACTGTACATAAAGTAGCTCCAACTTAACCTGCTAATGTACACACTGCATCAGTATAAACAATACAATGTGATCATAATATATCAGTCACAGGGGCCTTTACTTTTGCTACTTTAAATGCCTTCGACAATACTAATGTACTTATATTTATGTAGGAACTTTAACGCAGGACCTTTACTTATAACGCAGTATTTTTAGATGTTGTGTTGGTATTTTTACATGTTTTTTTCAGCCTTTTGTATAAATGTCCTGTTCGCTTTTCTCCAAACTGTGATTTTCATTTGCAGTTTAAAAGGAAGTAAGTGTTATGGGTGGAGGGGCCAGTTTTCAATTGCAGAAGTGAAACAAGTTAGTAGAACTTAACATCTTAACATACACAACGACACTGTGCCATTTGCACTCAAGAGCGAGAATCATACGGAGCAACGTCGGGTGAAAAAAGAGACAGAAAAGAAGAAGACAGTTGTTCTGTGCCATGTTGGCCGAAGGTTTTCTCAGAGTGCTGTGTTACAGGGAGGAGAGAAAGTTTGCCACTGCTTCCAACCTTGAGAGATTGCAGGAACACGCTCGTTGTGCGGATCAGTTGAACTGCCATCTCTCCGACCCGAACTCTACAGACCTACAGACAGATTCAGCCAAAGCAGGTAAACAGCCTCATAAAAAAATATGCAAACCATCTGATGTTTAACTTTCCAAACGGGTACTAACGGTAACTTTGCACGGTCTGGTTAGTCTGCTTCCCTTTTACTAACATGTTCTTCCTTTGTCAGATATGATCTCTCTCATGCTTTCGTGCCAAATAGCAACGCAACATTCTAAATTACCAGTTTACTTTCGCTTATCAGGTCCAAACCAGGTGGAACTAGACCCCGCCCAATGCCAGGGACTGAAAGTGGTGCCTGAAGGCCCCGTAGGCCTCTTAATCCCTGGGTGTCTACCGGTCCTCACCCTGGACCCTGACTTTATGGTTTTCTTGGACAACTGCAGCCTCCTGGAACAGTATCCAGACGTGCAGGTGGCCACCATCCCCCAGCGCGCTCTTTACTCTCCTGGCCCTGAAGCCTACCGTCAGACAGAATGGGCAGCCCAACAGGGGCCACAAGGCGAGCCCGTCTCGTCCATACCAGACCAGGGTTATCTGGTTATGGGGCCCAGTGTGAACATCAGCTTGGATGTGCCCGAGTCTGGGCTGGAGCCTATGTCTAACTCGCTGCTGAATGGGCTGCTGGAGAAGCAGCTGGAGGAGGTGTACATGCAGCATCTGACTGACAACTTGGCTCGATGTAACTCCGACCTCCTGCACGGCCTGGTGCCTCCACCGCATCCCGGCAGCAGCCAGCCTCGGGGGCCAGACTCACTGGAGGCCAGTCTGGAACAGGGATCAGGAGGGGGCAGCGGCAAGAAGATTAGTTATCTGAGAACCCAGAACTCGGTTCCCTGCTCGTCCAACTTCAGCTCCCCTGTTCTGAGGATTTCAGAGGCTCACAATACTCATCTGCAATAAAGGCAACCATGCAAACACCAAAGTATTAAATGTGATGCTCAGCTATGGCTCTTTTGCTTCTGCACTTCTGTAACTCTGAGTGTACACATACCCACATGCAAGGGGGATGTGAAAACAAGTGCAGTCCAGTAAATGAATGCAAGCTTTTATTTTTGTTTACCTATATTTACACAATGTCTTTGTTGACTTGCTTGGTGAAATGACATGTCAAATGTTCCTGCTCTCATGTGCCATCTGCTGTTAGGTTTGAGAACCACACCATCATGTATTTACCTGACATACATTTTAATTCATTGTATTGATATATACATAAGTGTGTAGGGTATTTATTATTTTGAAGCAAAGAATAATCCAGTGTTAGATTATAGATATATTCTGTGTATTGAAGATGCCTTGTAAATAAAGATGTATTCTGTATTTGGCAAAAATAATTCAACAATGTCTTGTTTTTAAAATGATATATCAAATATATTAAATGGTTAAGTGAAGTGGGTTGACCATATACATTTTATGATTACTTTAATATGATGCAATTAAGGCACTTACATTTACAATGAATGCCATTTACCTATTTGAAATGATTTCTAAAGGACTTGAAGTAGATACTTATTTTTCATTTTATGTCTCCAAATCAGGAGCAATGTGATACAACAACATGGCAACATTAGGCTTTAGTAGAGACAGTCAAAGAGGCATTTTAGGGCTTTTTTTTCGGAGGTAACTTGTTTTGTAGTGTTTCTGATATATTATGGTTAATGTGTAGAAGTTTGGAAACACAATTTGCTGGGTTATGTTGTGCAGAGAGCAATGGCAAAAGTATATTACTCAGGATTCTGTGTGGTTATGTGATGAATGAAGGCCTCTCTGCGGCCCATGATAGATAAACCCGAGGTACATTACATTAAACCATAATAAAGAGATTTAAGACGACTTCTGACAAGGTTTATTTAAAAACAAGCATTAAAAATGATATAAACCTACCAGGAAAGTCAAATTTAACTTCAATGGACCAACTCCAAACTAACTTGACCGAAATCCAAATTAGGATGACAGTTGTGCATGTGTGTACTGATGCTAACTTCACTGACAAGTATAATTACAATAGCATGAAATCAATTCTGGGTCAGGGTGTTTTGTTTCCCTTTAATGTGAGGCAATATGATGATGCCAGTACTACCTGCCCTTTTTAATATGAGGTTTTGACAACTTCAAAGCTCACATCACTTGGTGTGCCTGTATGAAAACTGTGAAGGACTAGAGACCTCTCCCAGGGTCCAATGTCTCCACATCACTGTAATACTGCAAGTATACTGTACAAACCCTGCAAACGGTTCAGATTGGGAATGCATACAAATTGACGGTTGTTACCCTATACGTTGCTGCTGAAACACCCAAGGACCTGTGATGATGGTGTGCTTTAGTGAGACCTGGCAGCCTCTAAATATCCACCATTCCAACCCGTTGACTGAGTGTGGAGTCTTCAGTTGTCCTAAAGGCACCTGAACCTCACAATGAGCTCCATCATGAACTGACAAAGCAATACAGGCTGAAGATTTATGGTGCTTTTGCCTGCTTAGGGTTGATTTGTAACCTGTGAAGCACAAATCCTCACCGTTGGGCTCACAGTGAAGGTAACGGTGATCCATCAACATGCACTTATACACTGGGCTTTGTGGAGGCTGATTCACTGAGCGGTGAAAAATATAGAAAATAGAAGGTTTTCTCTCATTAACAGATTTGAGTCAACGCTATTTAGTCATTCTTACATTTATACAGCCTCTATCAAATATTGCAATTGTAACCCAGCTGAACAAAACAGGTGAAAATAGAAATGAATTAAGTTATAAACAATTAAAATACTGACTTAAGTTAAACTTGTTGCTTTCATTTCTGTTATTAGACAGATAACTTAGTCAAATCTTTTGTTTCACCCATTCACATCGCGGATGTTTATCATCGTATCTGCATCCCTTACTAACATTAACCGGAAGTCATGCAGTTCACTTGGAGAGTTCGTCCAAGTCTCCGTGTTGAGCTAGAAGTAGTTTGTTCAGTGTAACAATGTTGAGCTTCACTAAAGTTAAGAAACCGGAGTAACTACATTTTTTGAGTCGAGCTGTTATCAGGTGACAGAAACTGTTTCACTGCACAATCTTAATTAGTTTCACTGCACACGCTTCGGTAAGCTAACGTTAGCTTCTCAGTTCTGTTCAGCTAGGTTAGTTTCGTTGTGTGTTAGCTACAATGTTATTTCCATGTAAAGCCTTTTCTATCATGTTACTGTGGTTTGTGAATATCAAGTGATGAAAGGGAAGTGTATTTGATGTTAAAAGTGAGTTTCTTAGTAATATTCACCATGTTACTAAAAGAGGGGAAAAAACGTGACTTCCTCACATGTCGTTACAGATAATTAAATTATTTTTTAGGCAGTATTTTTTTAAAGAAATGTAGCGTAACCCATTGAAAAATTGTTAATGTAACATTTAGCATTATCTCCATCCTCTGATCATTATCTTTTTTTAATTAATAACCACATATTTTATTTTACTCTCCTCTATTTTATTATGTATTTGATGTATTATTTCACATGAGCTCAGATGTCTAATTTTGCATCAGTGAGTGTTCTATTGGAAGGAACGTAACAACAAACAATCCTATTGGTTCAAGGTGGAATAATTGAAGGCCATAGGTGAGAAACAACACAAGTCCCGCCTCCTTCACTCAGGCTGGAGGGCCGGAGCATGGCGAGAGAAAGTGAACATATAACATATTACTTGTACTTGATGTAAACATACTATTCGAGCAAGTGAGAGTACAGTCAACTATTGAAGCGACCCTGAGAACATCAGAGTCTCATTTTACGCTTCCCTTGTCTTGGCGAGTTTTGAACATCAGAGTAACTGACGCTTACGTCGCATTAGCCGAATGCTAACGTTACTAGCTCTGTGACTTGGCATAGCCCCACTGGTGCTTTAGCCACCGAGTTGTCGCATAAAGTTAATATAATGTGGTATTTTTTTAATGACACAAGCAAATGGGAACATTTGTGTGTAATGAGTATATGTTTGTGTGTTATTTACATTGTGTGAACAGAGCAGAATTAGCTGAATTTCATAGGCTATGAAACTAGCTTCATCCTGTACGTCACTGTGCTGCTGCTGTGCAGTGAGCTCAAGGTGTCAGTATTGTGTTCACAGTATCTTACTAACATTACCTAAATGTATTGAGTCTAATGTCTCAACTGTAAATGGTTTTCATAATCCTCTACGAAGCAAAGTGTTTCGCAACTAATAGTTTGTTTACCCTTAACAGTTTAGTGGTCTGTTTAATGGTACAGTAGACGTTTCATGGATTAACACACAATGCTACAGGTATCCGACATTCATGGGTTAACCTAAAGCATTGAAGGGTTGTATTGTATGTTTGATATTGACTAAATTAAAACTGTACAGTTAGAAGAGTTGAATAGATTTAAATTTGCAATTGAACAGAACATTGTTTTTTGGGGGGAGAATATTTTTATTTTATTTAGGGTGTACCTTAAACTTACTTCTGTGTTCTGATTATTGTTCATTAACCCTCCATACAAATCTAGATACTGGTCCAGGGTGCATTAATCCTCACATGGGTTACAGTAGTTTTACTGCAAAGAGTATTTGTCAAAAGTTTTGTTTACTCAATCGGTGAAACGGGTAATGGTTATCTACAGAAAAATACAATTATCTTCACTGAGAGAGTAAGATGTGTTGGTTAAATGTTAAATCTGTAGACGTATTTGGATGTTTTATTGCTTACTCAAACAATAGCTAAGCTTCATTCTTTTTTTCATGTCTGTTTGTATCGTGTTAATAAAAACTAATATGAAGGAAAGCAGAACAGAAACTTTAAGCCTGTTTGTAAATGCAGGTCAGGTGTTTATTGAGTGCGGAGATCCAGTGAAGAAGATCCAATGATTCCAGTAGACGGCGATCCTCCCAGCTTTGCTTCCAGGAACCCGGATCTACATGACCACTGAGACAGCCGGATGAACTATCTGCTCTGTGGTAGGATCGGGCTGGTCACCTGCTGGTACCAGCTCAAACAGACAATATACTTAGATAGTGCACTCAGACTCATCAGACATGTCAGATAATCCATCTGAATCAATTCTCCTTGTAGTCATCAGACACTGACTTTGAAGTTGTATCTTAAAACTGGAGAAACCCCACATAAGGATTAAGGATATACATATACTTAATGATTGCAGGTGACCAAAGTAAACTTCTTTGTTTTTATTAATTATCTTTGGTTTGAAGGACCTAGTTTACAATTTTTCATATCCATGAAAATGTTCCATTGGTTTTGCTCTTCATGGGCAAACTATGGTTGCAGTTAACTGATTGAACTTGTGTGTATGGCTACTGCACTCTAAACTTAGCTCCTTCTGCACAGAGATTGAGGTGTACTTACTCAGGAGTGAGTCACACAATACGTTCATCAGTGGACCATTGGCTCAATCACCATTGCGTTACCTCCTTCGGCTTAAGATAGTAACCTAACAGACGTGTATTTAAATACAAATCTTTAAATGCACGACTTTAAACGAGACTTCTAAAACCAATTTGTGAAACTCAAAAAGAGACTCAACATCAGAAAAAGTGATTCCATTCAACTAAGAGCTGTTCTGCCACTTGCAATAAAAAGTGAACGTAACATCAAGGGTCTAGATGAGGATGTTATCTTTGCGGAGGGCTGGAGAAATGGAGATGGGGGTCGTATTCGGTTGAAACTTCTAAGTGTCCGGACCTCCGACTGGGCTGAAGGAAAGCAGGAAGCACTTCCACCTCAGACAAAGCTGTCAATTCAAGAGGCAGCACAGCTTCAGATTTGAATGTTAAGAAGTGTGGTGTCGACCTATTATCAACACAGTAAATATCTCTGTCTGCTAGACTTTTCACTGTACACTTACTCTGTGAACAAATCAAAAGAGAATATAACGCCAGAACCTTATGAATAACAATATGCACACGTTTTACTCAGGTAAAGGTCTTTACAGTAATAGATCTTTTTCACATCAGACATCTTGACTGAAGAATCTCAGAGGTTACAAATAAAACGTCCGATGACTCTTGCTTTGACGGGGTTAATTTGCAGCCTTAGTCTGATACTGGTCCTCATGTTGACCACGATGTTGCTGTCAAGGCGGCTGCCATATTAATACAGGAAGCTCCTCCTAATGCATATATGTACATCATGTGAGCTTCTCGGTGTATTCTTTCATTTCTTACGGCATTTTAGACGACACAAGATGACGCCCGGCTTAATCTTTGCTGAGTTACTGGAAGTATCTATAAGTCCATATTTATATGGTCCACACTGATAGAAGAGAAATCTCTTTTATCAGTTCTAACTGCATTATAAAAATGTCTGTCATAATATAATTTTATTCATAATTTAGAAAATAAGAACTTTTAATGAATAAAAAGACAATTAAATCAAACACTTAAGTCGTGAAATGTTTTTTTTATTCCCGTTTCAACCATCTACAGCACTTTTGCAACTTTTTTATGAGATGCTGTATAAATTGTTTATTTATTTTTATGCATTTCTCACAATCTCTTGAGGAAAAAATATTTCCTCATGTAGAAAAATTGAGACGTGGCAGTATGCTGATTGCAAATAACAAGCATACGCCTGCCAATTTAGATTGATTATGATTCATTAAAAGCCTACGCACGGACACACGCACGTTATTTACTTACTTATTTACTTATTTTGTGAGCAAAGTAGGAACATTTTGAATCACATATTAGTGAATGAGGCCCAACGAATGCAGAACAGGGGAGCGAGCTCAGCCGTTGAGACCTGGATATACACATCTGCATCAAACCTCCACACTGAGGAACAAAAACTTCCTTAGAGTCCTTAGAAATACTTTGATGGACAGAGACAGCTACCATCCTCCATGAGAAAGTAAAGATCTATTGTTGTTGTTGAATACATTACACATGCATGAGCTCAAATTCAGCAGACTTAGAGTTAAGTAGTGAGAAACAAGAAGAAGAAAGGGATGTAATAACAAAAGCTACATTCATTAATGAAGTCTTGAGTTTATTTACTTCACTGTACGTCCAAGCAAAACTAGGGAAAATACACAAGCTAATGAATCAATAGACAAGAATAACTTGATTTACAATCACAAAATAAGTTATTGTTGTATTTAACATTATGCTTACAGTTTGGTGTTCAGTAGTCTGATAACAAGAGAGACTTCTTTTATCGTCTATCTAGGAGGAAGGGAAACGCCGCTCAGCCAGGAAGTCAATCCAGGAGATTCTTCCACACAAGTCCATCATAAATTGGATCTGTTACACAGCGACATCATCGACAATTGGGAGGTTTGTTCTCACAGCACACATTTAGAGGGCCGTGGTGCCGTCTCCACAAAAGGAGTGAACCCCAGTGAGAAGATAATCAGTCCCAGTGGGCTCTCCAAAGTGAGGAAGGCGGAGAGGAAGATGAAAGAAGAAGAAATCAGAGGTGATGCACAGAAAGACATGTGCACAGCGCTCCCACAGGTGGAAGGAACTGAGAGAGACAGAAGAACATATGCAGGAACTGCAAAGTCTGCGGCAAACGTGACCAAACATCATCCAGACTGAAGAGCTGGATGAAGTGAAAGATATTGCAGTTTTTGCCAAGGAGATGATGGATGAGGTCAAGGAGCCCAAAAAAAAAGATGAGACCATTAGGAGATGCTTTCTGAATTGGGTAAATGAATTGCTACATCACCCCATAGCTGCTGCATAGGAAGGTCGCCAGAAAGTACAGGAAAGAGTCGGGCAATGACATCACCAGAAGTAAGAAATTCCACTGAAAATTGTTATTATCGCCTTAATTCTTTTTCATTCCCCCTGCAGTAAACCATTAAGCTATCATGTTGCCCTGTGGAACACACGCCTACTTTACTGTTCTATCATACAATTCTTCTCCTCTGGTCTCTTCTTCTACTGGCGTAGCTTCCTACAAGACTCAACCAACGACTCGAGCCTTTGAAACTTCTGGACGCTCACTGGGAAGTCCAGAGAAACCAGAAAGAGGCGCTGAAACACAAGGAAGACGAATGCTGTGAGAAGCGGATGGCTGAACTTGGCCCGAGCGTCAGTCAGCTTTATATGAGTGTGTATTGCTTTCAGGGGATTTCACGAGTGTTTAAATACATAACTGTACTCAGTAACTCAGTGGTTAGCACTGTCGTCTATGTGGAATTTGCGTGTTCTCTTCCCTGTGCCAGTGTATGTTTCCTCAGGGATTTGCTCCTGCTTCCTCCCACACTTCAAACACATGCACAATGTTTGCCATTCTGTATGCAACACCTATTTAATGTCTGTCCTGGGAGAGGACTCCACTCTTTTTCCTTTGTGGAGTTTTTACATATCCAAATCCAGGGTCTAGGGAGAGAATTTGTTTGAAATACATTGCTGAATGCTGTAGGTTTCATTCATAGAGATTTAGTGTGTGTGTGTGTGTGTGTGTGTGTGTGTGTGTCCGTAGTCCGCCCTTCCTGTTGGAGGCCTTAAATAGACATTTCTGTAAACCTAAAATATTTTGTAGTGATTACAACTATGTATACATTTGTAATCTGACGATGTATCGTCCTTCTGAACCACTCAGGAAGTGATGTTTCCGCCTAAGCGCGTGTGTGTGTAGAGCCCTGTTCTGCTGGTTGGATATCATTGCTAGCTCAGGGATTCCTGTGCACATTAGCGGCTGCATGAGTTGTGGAGTTTTTGTTTTGTGTGTGTGTATACGCTGCTCTCCCTCCCCCTATCTCCATAACCCCTGTCCCATTCTCTCCCTGTGTCCCTCTCGCCCTTTTTGTCCCAGCATGGCTACAGGATGGCTGCCCTGTGGACTCTCTCTCCGCTGCTCTCCGCCGGCCTGTTTTGGCCTGCGTGTTTGGCCCTGACGAACCTGCCCCCCTCGCAGGGCTTCAACAGCAGCGATGGCAGCCTGTCCGTGGATCTGCCCATGGCTCTCAGGGTTTTCAGCGTGGACTATCACCACGTGCAGGCTCCCTTTGAGATCGTGCTGTGGATCATGCTGGCCTCACTGGCCAAGCTGGGTGAGCTTCAACTGCTCTAATGCTCATTCGTGAGAAGCCAACATCAGATAAGATGACTATAAGAGGAGGTTAGATGTTGTCTGAAGCTGCTTCACAGTTATGTGACGGCATGTATGAGTTACTTTACCAACTACTGTATGAGTACTGTAATCCAAGTGGTTTACCAACATCATTATCATTTTTTTATTTCATATTTACAATATAAAAGCACACAGGAAACAAAAACAGAGAATCTCAAAGAGAACCTCCTTCTCAGACCTGCCAATCTCTGCACATTGTGCGTAGCAGGCACACATTTAGACATCAAAGAACTGGTAGGAGTTCTTACTTTAAGGTACGCTCAAAGAGGACAGTTTATTTTTATTAACACTTAAGCAATGGATAAAAAATATAGCCAAGCTAATCTAGAGACATGGGATCATTGTTTGTTCTACTACCAATATAAGACGAGGCTTTCCCTCGTACAATAGCTTTTAATGTCGGTCACGGCACACTGTATGGACCTAGAAGTTACTGGAGGAAACCCACCAAGTCATTCAGCATTCAGGTCAGAAGTCGTCTTTATATATAGAATATATAAAGCTAATTTAAGCATCCCATTACTACCCCGCTGTGTGCATATTATATGGTGTGTATTAGCTTTTGGTGGAGCTCCACATCTGTGCTTTCAGTCAAAAAAATCAAACAGGGTTGAAGCCAATTAGCATGACGCCTTTTATCTTCTCCGTCTCTAACCTCCAGGTTTCCACTGGTCGGGTCGCCTCCCAGCAGTGGTGCCAGAGAGCTGTCTCCTCATCATGGTGGGCCTCCTGGTCGGAGGGGTGATCTATGGCGTTCGCCACTCTGCTCCCCCGACTCTCAGCGCTGACGCTTTCTTCCTCTTTCTGCTCCCGCCCATCGTCTTAGACGCAGGATACTTCCTGCCAGGGAGGCTGTTCTTTGAGAACCTCGGCACCATCCTCTGGTAGGTACACACTCAATGTTCTGGGCCTGTTTCCAAGATGGGAAGAATACACTTTGTCTTATACCTTTTTCACACATTATTTGAGTTTTTTATTTTTTAGTACATGAAAAAAATCCAACATATGTAAAGAATGCGCAACACATTTTCTATCTGAATAATAAAGCATCAATGATTCCTGAAAGAAGCAGATGAAAATAAAATGTGTCGACATTCAAATATCCCAGAGGATAATTCTTTGTTGATCCCTGGTTTGTCATCTAGTGTCACTGCCGGGTCAAAATGCCTCAGATTATTTATGCTTTATCGTACACATAAAATTAAAAGTTGTCTTTGGCACAAGTCTGTGGTATATGGCACACGCTATACAACAATACTCAACAATTATACATCATAAAAGGCCCAAACGCACTGAAAGCGTCTGACACGCATGTATTGAAGTACACCTATTGTTTTAAATGGCCGAGCACGTACCAAAAACGCCTCTACTCCGACCTTGTTTCATTTTTGAAGCGTCAAATGAGGACCCAGCTTTAAGAGAGAGCTTAAAGCAATAAAAGGCAAAGGTCCCCCTTAAGAGAGATTTCAAATCTCAATGGGATTATCCAGGATAAATAAAGGATTTCCCCCCAAATAACAGTATTTAATGGTAGAAATGAATTAATAACACTTATTGTGCTTTCACTGGGTAAAATGACAAGCGTCACTGGCGGTAGGATCACGTCATCTGTCACTGCTTTGTAAATTCCCTTTGTAACTTGATGGCCGGTTTGTGCGCTCTCTGCATTACGGTGTCTCAGCCAAAGATTGTTCGTAAAGTAAAAGAAGCTTCACTCTGCATCAGTGTTTTTGTAGTCTCAAGAACACAAGTGACCAAGTGGCAGTAACAAAAAGTGCTGAATGGATTATTCTTCCACTGGCGTTTAAATCCATTAAAACACCACCACTCGGCAGAATTTAACAATAACTGAGGGGGGCGGGGGCTCCAATACTTTGGTTTCTGACCAGATAGTTGAAAAACTAGTGGCACTCACAGCCTTAACTGTACTTTTTGTTTAGCACTAATTTTCACATATTAGCATGTTAACACACTAAACTAACAACATCAAAATGTTAACACTGTCATTGTGAGCGGGTTAGCATGGGTATGTTAGCATTTAGCATTACCAAAGGGGTGACTTACAGTAGAGAAATGATCACACTGCTCAGGAGTTCCTCTTATCTCTGGAGTGTTTCTGCATCTTTCATATCATTGCTTTGGTTTTTATGACCCACAGCTTTACTCTTTCGGTTCAGTCTTCACTACTCTCGTCATCATTGTTTCTTTGATGTTATCTTGAGCGCCTTGCCGAGCGGTATCCTTCCCTTTTTTCCTACGAAGCTGCTGATTGTGCCCACATCTCCAGGTACGCGGTGCTGGGAACCCTGTGGAACGTGTTGGGCATCGGCCTGTCTCTGTACGCCGTGTGTTTGCTGGCCCCGAGCTCTCTGGGAGACATCTCTCTGCTCCACTGCCTGCTGTTCGGCTCTCTGATCGCTGCCGTCGACCCCGTGGCCGTGCTCTCCGTCTTCCAGGAGATGCACGTGAACGAGCAGCTTCACATCCTGGTGTTTGGAGAGTCGCTGCTCAACGACGCCGTTACTGTGGTGAGGGCGGAGGTGGTTTACCAGGTGGTCTAGAAAATAGAATACCTTCTGTACTGTGCATGATGCATCTCTCTTCCTCCCAGGTGCTCTACAGGCTGTTTGAGTCCTTCCTCCGCCTGCCGTCAGTGTCGGGGCTGGATGTGTTGCTGGGAGGGTGCAGGGTTTTGGTGGTGGGCCTCGGGGGCCTGTTTGTAGGCCTCTTCTTCGGCCTGGTGGCGGCCCTCACCTCACGGTTCACCTCCAGAGCCCAAGTCATTGCCCCGCTCTTTGTCTTCCTCTACTCCTACTTGTCCTACCTGACCTCAGAGATGCTTCACCTCTCCGGTATCGTGGCGTGAGTGCTGCCGAGTGTCAACTTACACCCCAAAACATGATTTTGAAAACATTTAGCTTGGTGAAATCTTAATTACATCTTTTCTTGCAGCATTGTGACCTGTGCTGTGACCATGAAGCAGTATGTGGAGGCTAATGTGTCCGAGCGCAGCAACACCAGCATCCAGTACTTCCTGAAGATGTGGAGCAGCGTGAGTGAAACCCTCATCTTCATCTTTCTGGGCGTGTCCACAATACAGGATGTCCACATGTGGAGCTGGCCCTTCGTCTGCTCCACACTGCTGCTCTGCCTCGTCTGGAGGGCCACAGGTAGAATGAATAAACCTTTGCTGAATATTTCACTTTTGTACCAATGATGCTTTTGGCCAGAAGCTTGAATATCAGTTGTCAGGATAGAGGAATCAACCAATGTTACTTCCTCTGAAGGTGTTCTCCTGCTGACTGCTGTGGTGAACACGCTCCGGAGGAACACCGTGACCTTTCGAGATCAGTTCATTATTGCCTACGGAGGCATGAGAGGGGCAATCTGCTTTTCCCTCGTCTTCCTGATTGACGACTTCCCGAAGAAAAGACTCTTCATCACAACCACCATCGTGGTCATCCTCTTCACTGTCTTCGTACAGGTGGGAGAATAACTTCATTTGTGAATTTTGATGAAAGACAAAGGTTTTTTTTTCAGATAGAAGCTTTTGTTCTTTTATTTGTTGAGTTGTTTTTGTCTGGTTTCCAGGGGATGACTATTAAGCCTCTAGTAGAGCTGCTGGATGTGGAGAGGAAGAAGAGAGCTTTGCCTTCTGTCAGCGAGGAGATCCACAGCAGGGTGAGAAATGGCAGCGAGGTGCTGAGCCTGCAATATGGTCCGTAAGGAATACAGCACTGGTAATGCATTAGTAGTGTGTTGTATTGTAGGTGACATCAAAATAATCATTCAGGTGCCACATACTTACACATCAGCTGTTTTTATAGTAATAAAGGTATAATGCATTTTTTTTGTATATGACATTTCAGTATAACAATGTAAAACATTTTAACAAACCAAGATTAAATGATTTGCTATTACTTGCACATTATCTAAAATGATATGAGGCGAGAGAAATCTATGCCTGATGCTCACATCGTGTCTCCTCGTAGCTCATTGATCACCTGCTGGCAGGCATAGAGGACGTGGTCGGCTACTGGGGGCAGCACTACTGGAAAGACAAGTTCGTTTTTCTTTACATTTTCTTCACATTTTCTTCACCTTGTATGTGTGTGTGCATGTGTTTTATCCTGAAAGTGTTTGCATGCCCACAATAAATAGGACCTGAAATGACCAGGAGGTGGCAGCAAAATACCACATGCAAAAGTCCCTGATCATTGCCCAGTCAGGACTCAGGAATAATGAATGATATTTATTTTGTGTGTGCGTGTGTGTGCGTGAGGTTTGAGCAGTTCAACAGGAAGTACCTTCGGCGTTTCCTGATCCGTGAGGACCACCAGGCTCACTCCAGCATCCTCAGAGTTCACCAGGAGCTGGAGAGAAGGGAGCAGAGGGGAGACGAGGAGGCACCCCCACTGTGAGAACACATATTTTTACCTTGTGTCAGCGACTCTCGTCGTAAGAGTTGACTGCATCTGTTTGAAAGTCAAATGTTACAGAATATCTCCGCCTATCCCGTTAATTCCAGGGCATCTTCCTACTTAAAACCCCAATCATGCCACTGAAAACTGATTAGATATCAGTTTTTACGACACAGTTTTTGCCTCACTTTTAGAGTGGACCCTCGCTCCCCCAGCCGTCCCCTCTTACCAGAGGAGATGGACAGCATCAGGCGTATTCTCTCCAGAAACCTACAAAGCTTCAACAACAAGGTAAATTGACAGCGTTGGGGTTTTGATAAAAGGGATCAGTGACCGTGCGCTATAGTACTCTTCACCTATACTGCTTTGTTGTGACTCCAGCAGACACCAGCTTACAGCAGACACACTTTGCACCAGGACGCCACCACGGGCAGAACAAGGAAGCCTCTTCACAGGCACCAGAGTCTGGGAGAGAGGAGCACAAATAATACACAGGTAGGTCACGTATCCATGAAAACAAAAGTCATTCAGTCTCATTTCCTCAAACATTTCAACTAATTACGGGGGAAAATTCTTTCAAAATGCTCCATATTGTTACCAGTTTTAGGTAATTATAAAACATGAATGATTTTATCCTCAGAAATGTCTCACAAAAATGTTTTATAATCGTCTTAGGATATCTTTTCAAAACCAACCAATTACTGTACAGTGTGATCTTACTTCTGTGACAGGGGGAGGATGGAGAGTTCAACGGCTCACGCAGAGTGAGAGCAGGACTCAGCAGGTGTCACACAGGTAAAGTGAAAGACACAAATACACAAAAAAAAACACATATTAGACAAAATGTGCAGTTTTGTTTCACCTCTCAGGCTTCCAGTACTCACCACAAACACTCAGAAGATAGACACGTCATAAGATCGTCTCTCGTCTCTCTCTACCTCCTGACCTTTCACCTTGTGGGCCTTGAGCTCACTTGCAGCCTCTCCTCTCTTGGCAGTGTGCTCCATGAGCCCGAGGCCTGTCCCCCTGGACTCATCGGTCCCAGCGCCTTCAGCTCAGACCAGAAGACCAGTGGATCCACAATCTCCCGCTGCCAGAGAGGAGCACATCTCTCCGCAACATCAAGAAGCCCCTGCGGGTAGAACGGCAAAGAAACAACTCAGCTTTGTTCTGGAAAGCGAGAAGCAGCAATGAAGGAGAAGAAATGCAAACCAGTGAATTCAGTCATTTCAAAAGTGATAAGTACCTCATATTCATTTAGCCATAGAGTTGTGGGTTTCAAGACTGGGTTGTTAAAAGTTTTCAATTTCATGGATATTTTCCAATTAAAACTTTTGAAATGTACGAAATAATTCCCCTTCTGGTTTCATAATTTTGAGTGTTTGCCGGCTCCGTGTTTCACCTCATGAGCACCTTTGCTGGAGGGTCATTTGCATCTCTGCTCTAATTCATTTTCAAAGTGGCGCTCAAAAGTGTAACACCCACCTCAGAAATACCTCGCAGTCACAAATGCTGATACTCGCTGTCCACATTACGAGCACACACACAAACCAATCCCTCCTCACCTCGTTTCCTTCATAAATGCACAGCGCACCCACCGGTAATTTGACAAGGACAGGCTTACTGCTTCCTAAAATAACTCCTATCCCCCCCGCCTGACCTCCTCTGTTACTGGAGCTTCTTTCCCCTCACAGCTCCCAGCATGCCAGGGAGTGGCTGGGAGAGGCCGACTGTTTTCTTTAGGTCTGGGGCTGGGCAGAGGGTGGCAGAGTGGACACCAGAGAGGAGCCGAGGAGTAACTGACCTGAAGCAGACTGAAAGCTGAGGGGAAAGAGCACAGTGAAGGCGCTTCTAGGCTGGAGTTATGAGGGTGGGAGCTGCGACCTTGGCTGGGGGGATATTTGGGCTTGTAGGGACTCTGTGTTTCTTCCTCGCCTTTGGTACGGACTACTGGCTGGTGGCCAGTGACGACTGTGGACCGTATACATGGCCGACGCAAACAACGCTGACAAAAGATGCCAATGGGACTGAGGTAGGGCAGATACATGTGTGCACATATCGTATATATTCACTAACACCAACCCATGCAGTGAACGCAAACCTGACCGCTGTCACAATCGGGCAGTGACGTCCAACTAAACAAATGCATATAATAATAGTCGCAGCATCACATATGAGAACCACGAAAAGACCAATGTGGAATCTGTTCAGACGCTGTGTGCACCGCACGCGATGCCACTATAGGATATTTAAAGAGGTACCAAAATAATTTAGTTCAGCAACTTCTTTTTCAAGTTGGAGGACTCAAAGAGCAACAGATTTAAAAGAGAAAGGACCAAATCAATGCAGCAGAGATCAAGGCATCCCACAGTCACTTTCAGTTTGACTTAAGTGACTTTAAGTACAGTCCAGCTCCCAAAACACTGGATCCTACACTTCCCATAATGCATCCAATAGCAACTTTTTATCCATGTCTGCTAGACACCCATGTCTTTAAAGCATCGTTTTGTAATGCAGGCTTTTACATCTATATTTCTCCATAAGGCTGTAATTGGGCACATGGGTGCTTTAAGCGGAATGCTAAATTAGCATGCTAACATTCTCACAACGGAATTGCTAACACGCTGAGGTTAAGAAGGTATATATTAATTTAGTGTTTTAGCATGGTAGCATTTGCTAATTAGCACAAAACACAAAGTACAGCTGAGGCTGATGGGATTGTCAGTCTGATGACATCATTGGGGTGAATGTCTCAGACTTGACAACGCTCCTCAAGAGCCGTCATACAACTGTTTTCACAGGCAGTGGTAGTACGCCACCAGTCAGCAGCTGATCCTCGTGTGTGGACTCGGTGGAGTGCCCCTTCAATTTCCCAGTTTATTCTTCCATGCCACATTTGTGAGAAAGTTCACAAAATGCAAAGTAAGGGGTATATTTATAAAAGCTGATCCTCCTCCACCCCGCCCCCCCCCCCCCCCCCCCATAAAAGAGGATGATTAAAGCTGCCTTGTGTTATTCAGCGCCATCAATCATGTTTCTGACAAGCAAATGGAGAGTATCGCTCATGCGTGTTTCATAAGTTCCCCCCTCGAAAAAACCTCACGGACGAGCGGGCCATAATCAGAACCACGTTTGACGCCGTGGCACCGCTGAAGCACAGAATCGCACACACACAGCGGCTAACAGACACGCGTTGACAAAGCTGACAGACATTTAAGGTTCTTCTATCTTCAGACATCTGAGTGTCCATCTCTCTCTGTTTACGTGCTGATGTGTCTCTCTCTCATTTAGATCCAGTTAGTGGAAGCTGTCACTGCTTCTCCTCCATCGCTCACTCTGCACCACGAGGGCTTCTTCTGGCGATGTGTGTTTCAGGTGGAGCCAACAGCGCACGCAACGCTGGCCACTCTCTTCAGTATGTACGCCTTTCCAAGGAGGCAAAGGGTTTTCGTTGGAGTTTGTCCAATGCGGTCGCATGTCTCATACTTAGCAGTGTGGTCCGCTTGTCATGCTAACAAGTGCAGGAAAGAAAAATGTCTATAATTTGGATATTTGACAGAAAATATAGAGGAGGAGAGCACGAAGAATGTGTGGGCGTTTATTTCGGTTTGTGGGGTGTTTTTTGGGGCTTTTCTCCAAATTTCTTTACATTGGTTTTTTTTCACTCTGTTGTTTTTTTCCTTCCTCAGACCTAAAAGACTTTTCTCTTTACCTTTTTATTCATCATGTAGCAAACCAGCCAGAATCCAAGGTGTGCATCCATGGGTACCTCTTCCCTCTGCCCGTTGCACTTGGACAGGTTCCTCATCCAAGTTATGATGCTTCAGCAGGTAATGCTCTCTCTCTCATGTCTTTACAATCAGGTGACAAACTAAAGGAAAACAAACTGTACAACTTCCATATATCAAGTTGATTACAGATTTATGACTAACTTACAGTTTTAACACAATTTTTCAGTTTACACTTGGCTGTTTAAAGTGAGGATAAGAATGAGAGTAAAATAAGCTTAAGTTCACAAATCACAAACTTTAAACAGTAACAGTGAGAAGCTGTTTATCGTCATGACTTCAAAGAGCATGTAAATAAAATGGTGTTCATATTTCCTATTTGTTATCCTTACAAGTCAAGGTCTTAGCTAGAATTTTAGAAATACTGAGGTCATGGGTCAAAGTCGCCCGATGTAACCCCCCCCCCCCCACACACACACACACACTGACACACACACACGCACACGCACGCACGCACACATTCCCAAATGAAAGACTCTACACTGCCAAAAATAAGAATCTAGTTAAGAAAACTACTGCGTGTGTCTTTAAGGAATAGTTTGAGATCTTGGGAAGTACACCAACAGCATTCACTTTCTTTTCAAGAGTTAGATAATAAGACTGACACGACTCTCATGTATATAAATATGTAGCTACAACCTTAGCTTAGCAAAAGCACAGCAAGCACGGAGACACAGTTAGCCCGTCTCTGTCCACAGGTGACAAAATCCACCCATCAGCACCTCCAAATCTCACCAATTAACACGTTACATCGTGTTTGTTTGATTTGAAAGAAGTCACCGCACCCAACCAAGAAATAGTCCGGCATATACCTCTGTGTTCAACGAATGAGATATAATGTGTTAGTTCGTGAGCTTTAGAGGGTCTGATAGGTTCTCTTTACCTTTCACAAAATGTCCAACAATGTGTTTATATGCAGAATGTCACTCCCCTTAGGTTGCCCAAATTTGCAAAAAAAACATGTGCCAGCATCCAAACCCCCATGCTATATCCACCGACAAGAACTGTGACTGCTCTGATGGCGGCCTGTTTGTATCGCTTGCAGTGTTTAGGGGTTTCTGGACCGTGCTGATAATCCTCGGCCTGGTGGCAGCTCTAACTGGAGGCTTCCTCTTGGTGTGCGGTGTCCCATTCTTCAGCCACAAACTGTACAAGCTGGGCGGTGCTTTCCTCATCGCTGCTGGTAAGATATAGTCTGTGTACATGTGTGGTGTTTAGAACCACAGTATTCATCTGCAGCTGGAAATAGGCTCTCAGGGGAGTAGGTGATCGCACAGACACCAACACATGTTGCAGCCACTGCTGCTGTCAGCTGTTGGTACCCGTCACATGACACATGACACATGACACACGTGGCAGCAGATGTCCCGCCGCAGTAGTGTCGCTATAACAACAGCAGGGTTCAAACACTGCTGCTGTGGTAACAGTGGAGATGAGTCGGAGCTGCATTCCTCTGGTGTTACTCGGCAGCAGTGATGGCCTCTATCTGTGTCTCCCTGATACTCCTCATGTCACTCCCCAGCCTGCCTGTTCCTGTTCACGCTGCTGCTCTACGTGCTGTGGATGGAGGTGATGGACGTGAAGCGCTACGTCCTGCAGGAGCGAGGAGAGGCGTGTCCCCACGCGCAGGTTTCCATGCTCTACGGCCTGTCGTTCATGGTGGCGGCTGCCGGCGTGCCTCTGGAGCTCGTCTCTGGGATGGTCTTCATGCTGGTGGGCCGGGCGCTGTGTGCCAGCAAGTGAGCGTGCCGTCTGGCCTGTAGGGGAAGAGAGGACTGACCTTTTTTTTTTCTTCTGTGTCCCGCACTGGGACTCGGCAGCACACTTGTGGCATGTAAATACTGGCTGGAACGACATGATCAATATAACAGCACCACCCTTTGGATGTGAAGAGAGACACTCAGAGACACTGGTTTTCAGTTTTCTGTAACTTTCTTTGCTTTATTTCCATAAAAATCACTAATTGCTATAGAATAATATTATTACAATAGGTTTGTGTGATACTGGCATTAAGGAGCAATTAATGATGTGCCAAGATTATCTTTTATTTAATCAATATGGAATGGCATCCGACTGCCATTCAACAGATTTACGTTTGTTGTTTTTTTTGTTATTAACGCTACAAATTGTGAGTCCATAGAGCGCAAGGTGAGAGCTGTATGAGTGAACCAGCTGTGTCCCCTGTCCTGATTTTGGCACACGATGAAAGTAGGCTAGCTGCAGCGGAGTGAGGTGGGAGGGAAGAATGGCCTGATGGACTGGAGACAGAAACGGTGGGTTGGAGGGGGGGGGGGGGGGGGGGGCAGGCAGAGAGAGAATTGGTGCTTGTAGGGGGGCACAAGGGGGCTTTGAGAAATGAACAGCTGTTTGTGGGTTTTGGTTGGTGTACAGCAGGCCAGCCACCTG